TTCCTGGGGTGAAGACAAAATCAATCTTTCTGATTTATGTTGCAATTGAAAGTGTGTTTCATTATCTTTAAAGGTTTTCGCGTGCAATTGGATCTATATTATAGTTATTTTTTAATTAATATTTTTAGATATGATAGTCGCTTTTTCTATTCAAATATTCAGTAATTCATTTATTCGCAATACTTGCGTAAAAAAATACAAACATCTTATTGATACTTGAAATTTAGATGGCGCTGGCACGCCTGCCTTGAGCTTGCTCCGCATTTGGCGCTGTGAGTATGGAGGTTTTTTTCAAATAATTGGATTTTAGGTAAAAAATGGACAGTTTTCAAAAAATAATTGTGGAAAAACTGTATGTACGATTTTTATGATTTTAAGGTTTTTGGAAAGGAAATTTTATTCACTTTAAAGAAAAATTAATTCCATTGCGGGACCATTTTTGCACGCGCGGATATAATGATTACACTAAAGTAAGCTAAAAAAAATGCTATTTTTTATCAATTTTTTATGATAAAATTAAAATATCTAATTGAGGTTTTAAAATTGTGGTTTGTGATGTATTTGTGAACATTTTGCATTTTTACTTTTTTGATTTGGATGATATTTAAGCAGTTTTGATATCGAATTTTAATTCGATTTTCCGCAAATTCTGTATGTACGATTTTTCTGGTTTTTACTTTAGTTGAAAGCTTGTTTTATTACCTTTCAGGTGAATATTCGTGCATGTCGGGGCCGTTTGTGGTTGTTTTTTAATTATTTTTTAAGTAAAAAGAGTCAGTTTTTTCATAAAATTTGATTTTTTTATTTTTTGAATATCTCAGCTATTACGCAACATACAGTTATAAGGTATATACCAAATAAGAGATAATTGTATTTTCTATCTAAATCATATTTCAAACTTGGTGAAAAAGCTTAAATTTGGCTAATTTTGACAAATTAATAAACTTAGAAAAATTTCGTGTTCCAATTCCGGCTTGGTCCCCTCAGCGTCGTTGCTATCTAGGCTCAGGTGATAATATAAGCATTTTATAATAGTTACACTTAGAATGCATAGCCAAGGGGGAAAAGCTAACTATTCGTTTTTCGAAGATAAATTAAATTTTGGACAACACCTGCATAATGAACAATTTCAAATAGTGGAAAAAGAAAGTGAGTTTTGGCAATTTGTCATTAAATATGAAAATATGCTAAAAAATTGTGGTCAACAAATATTGTCATATTCATGGGATAATAATAAGTCGCGAGAAATCACATCCTATCACAAACAGAATTTTATCACAATAAGTCTTCATAGAAATCATATATATCCTTTCGAAAAGGGAACCACAATAGTAACGCAGTTTAAAAATATTGTCTTATTGTATTTGGATTTTAAACAAAAAAAAAATTTTCTAAAATAAAAAAATTGCGCAAAGATCAACGTTCTTTACCTGTTACATTCTTCAAAAAAACTTTATTCAGTTTACTTCCAATATCAAAAATAATAATTATAGCAGGTGACACCGGTTGTGGTAAATCTACACAAGTGCCACAATATCTATATGAATTTGGATATAGAAATATTGGTATTAATTTTTTCAACAATTGCTTATATAAATTATTAATAATGCTTTTCAGCATGCACACAACCAAGGCGTTTGGCTTGCGTATCTCTATCACAACGGGTATCGCATGAAATGCTGGATGATTATGGAACCAAAGTAGGTTTCCACATTCGTTTCGAAAATAATAAAACTCCATACACTAACATTGTATTTACAACCGAGGGTCTTCTATTGAGACAAGTATAGTTATTATTAATACTTATTATAATATAATATTTCATTACAATACATGCACAGTTAGCTGCAGAATCAAATTTACATCTATATGACGTAATAATGCTTGACGAAATACATGAACGAAATCTTTATGGTGATATTTTACTTGGTGTGATCAAATGTATACTTTGTACTAAATTAAATATAAAATTAATATTGATGTCAGCCACAATCAATATATCACTATTTCAAAGTTATTTTAAAAAAGAAGATATTAAACTAATTAAAATACCAGGCCGACTTTATCCCATCAAAACCATTTATATTACGCCGCCTTATATAGAATCTAAAGCCGTTAAACAAAAAATCGTTACACAAATGGATCCGAAACCATTTATACAAGTTCTTAGTTTAATAGACCAAAAATATCCTAGTAAGTTACAAATAAATGTAAGAGAACGTTTATTTTGTGTTGTATAAATCTTAAAATTGTTCCTTGTTTATTGTATAACATTAAGTACATTAGATTTACATTCAAGCTTCTGAACGTGGCGATGTATTGATATTTGTAAGTGGTATAAATGATATAACAACAATATCTGAAGCTGCAAAGGAATACGCAGAACGGAATTCTCATTGGATTATACTTCCTTTACATAGTGGTTTAGCCTTAGCTGATCAAAATAAGGTACTTAAATAAATATTATGAATGCACCTAACATTTCACTTACAGGTTTTCGAATATGCACCCGAAGGCTTTCGAAAATGCATTGTTTCAACGAATATTGCCGAAACTTCACTTACTGTAGATAGTATACGCTTTGTTATAGACTCTGGAAAAGTTAAACAAATGAGTTACGATGCCTCTTGCAAAGGTCAACGTCTTAAAGAGTTTTGGGTTTCAAAATCTTCTGCAGAACAACGTAAAGGTCGTGCTGGTCGCACCGGCCCTGGGGTATATTAAAAATGTATGGCCTTGATATTTTTTTTACATTTATCTTTTAGACTTGCTTTCGTCTATATACTGAGAAACAGTTTAATTTGTTTGATGATTATCTGGTTCCAGAAATTTTTAGAGTACCCCTTGATACTATTGTACTCCAAATGATAGCAATGGGATTACCAAATATTCGTGCCTTTCCATTTATAGAGAAGCCATCAGGCGAAAAAATTGAACAAACAATTATGGCCCTAAAACAGCATGTATACAAATAGATTTTCTTGAGATTAATTATGCCTCTATGAAACTACATCATTTTAGAACGCTTTAGCAGCTGATGAAAAAATAACACCATTAGGAAAAGCATTAAGTAATTTGCCTGTTGATATTTCGATTGGTAAAATGTTACTTCTCGGTTCGGTTTTTTCGGACATAAAAAAAATTTTGACATTGGCTGCAATTATAAGTGTACAAAATCCATTTACCAATTGTGCTTATAAAGATGTCAAATGTAAGGTTAGTCTCTAAAAATTTATTTTATTAATTATGTAAATTCATGTAGCTATAGTAAACAAGATACTAAGGTCGTTTGTGAGTTGTTCTAGTTTCACTAAATGGGATTTTCCTTGCAATTTTTTGTACATTTAGCAACAAAGTTCAAAAAAGTGTGAGTTGCATTTTGACAGCTAATTCGCATTTCAATGTTTTTCAAAAGTATGCAAACGTCACAATTTTCCAAGACAATATTGCAAAGTCAATGAAAAAAATCCACTTAGTTTTTTGCAAACAGCCAGCCACTGTAACAAAATTTTATCAAATAAGTGTAGTAATAAAATTTTTTGAAAATACAAATATTTACAAAATTTACTGCAAATGCCTAATAAATAATAGAAAAAGTGATTTTTTGGTTAAAAGTTCTTTAATAACGATAATTAATTTTTTTATTATAAAAAAAAGCAAGGTTTTAATAAAATTATTTTTTATTGTCATTTTCTGTATTTTGATTTATTTAAATTCATTTTTTTATTTTCATTATTACTGTTCACAGTCAAAAGTGGTGTAACGCAAAAAAATTGACAAACCAAGATTAGTTTTTTTATAAATCCCAAAAATTTATTGAACGCACCATTTCCGTCGGCTTCTTTATTTAACTTCGTAAGGCTCATCTTCTAATATAAATTTATGTATGTTAAAAGAATAATTCATTTTTGACATTTTTTTTGTGATCAACATTGGCGCGCAAAAAAATCACTCCGTAACTTTCAGTGTTTTCTAAGCGAAAAACTTAAAAAGTGATATTGAACTCATCACAAATAATTGAGACAGTGACTCTTAAATAATATTAATAAAAAAATAATAGTGCCCGATAAAATAAAATATTATTATATTTATTTATTTTTGCGAAAAAAGTAAATTTTGATTTTGTTTTCGAATTTGTTTACTTTTTTCCAAATTCACACACACTTGAAAACAGCTGATAGAGACAGCAAACTAAGCTTAAAAGCTCAAAAACAAATTTACAAAAAAGTGTTGCAAACGGGTAGAATAGCTAAACAAATTACAAATCGCAAATTTGAAAAATTGTGTAATTGTGTAATTAAATAACAAACTTATGCTAAATAAATAAAATAAATAAATACGCGAAAGGACGCCTCAAAATAAATACGCGAAAGGACGCCTCAAAACAAAAAAAAAAAAAAAATTTATTGTTTGATAAATTCTTAAGAAAAATTGAAATTTATATTTTATTATATTATAAATTTATATTATACTTATATTAATAATATATATTTATATTTTTTCTTTTTAAATACATACTATTTTTCTCGTGCCATTTAAAACAGAACTTTAAAGGTTTATAATTAAATAATTAAAAAGTAGAAGCTTCTTTTTCACAACAAATTACTCAGAGACAGTTGGCTGCTCAGCTAACTTCCACGATACCAACCACGATATGCCAATTAATAGATCACCGCCTTCGCATAGCGGAGGCACAAACCACTCACCCATATGCTACCCAACAGCAGATGGTAGTTCTGAGAAGCCAACTACGAACCAAACAACAATGCTAAACAACCAAACCCAAAGGCAACGCTCATACTCGGTAAGTGAAAATTCTTGCAAACAATCAAGCTATCAACCGCAAAGTCCAGCAACATCTTCGAAAAATAACACAGCATCAGCGCAACATGTTAACATATTGCCAAATATATTGCAAAAGAATAGTAACATAGCAAAAAATCCTGATTCACCCAAAGTCCGTGGCATGGATAAATATATTCAAATCATAAAAAGAAAACGTAGCCCGAAACAAGAAAATGCTAACAATGCAATCTCGACAAAAACTCGAAAAATAGAAAATATTTCGACAGCGAATCGTTTTGCCGTTCTAGCCGAAGACGATAAAAATACCAGACCCGCCCCTACCCAGAAACCGCCACCCATATTTCTGCGTGAAAAAAATTCAAACGCTCTTATATACTCCCTAACACAAATTATTGGCAAAGATTCATTCCATGTTGTGCCTCTTCGTAAAGGAAATGTCGATGAAACAAAAATCTCGATCAACGAAGAAAAACATTACAGAGCAGTTGTAAACAACTTCGAAAAAAATGGAAAAAATTTTTACACCTATCAATTAAAAAGTGCCAAAGGATTAACAGTAGTTATAAGAGGTATAGAACCAGATTTGAATACAGCAGAAATTAAAGAAGCACTTGAAGAAAAAGGATTTAAATCAAAATCTATATACAATATTAAAAACCGCGATAAAGTTTCGACACCACTTTATAAAATAGAGCTTGAACCTGAAGGAAAGAAACTCAAATCGAACGAGGCTCATCCAATTTATTCCCTACAATTCCTACTACACAGAAAAATATCAGTAGAAGAACCGCACAAGCGTAAAAACCCGGTGCAGTGTACTAATTGTCAGGAATATGGACATTCGAAGTCCTATTGCACACTTCGTAGTGTTTGTGTTGCATGTGGCGACTTTCGCCGCACTAAGGATTGCACATCAAATAAGAAGGACCCAACAACAAAAAAATGCGGAAATTGTGGAGGCAACCACACCGCTAATTATAAAGGATGTGTAGTATACACTACCGAAAAACAAAGAATGTTTCCAGCATTGCGTCCCCGCTCTCAGTCAGTAATCCCACCACACCCTTCTCAAATGCGATCTCAGCCAAATGCTCCATCTGACTCCAACAATACGTGTACACAAATATCATATGCAAACGCTGTTAGAGGATTCACTGGCCCAAGCAACGTCCAAAATGAAAACTCTACTAAACCATCTTCAAATATTGAAAACATGATCCAACTGTTTATGGAAAACATGACACAATTTATGAACACCATGCAAAATATGATGCAGGGAATGATTCAAAATCAAAATATCTTACTTTCAATCCTATCCAAACCATGAATGCAATCAAAATTTGCTTCTGGAATGCTAACGGCTTAAGCCAACATAAAAACGAACGTGTATTGTTTTTACAATCACATCAAATTGACGTCATGCTGATCTCAGAAACCCATTTTAACGAGAAAAGCTACTTTAAGATACCTGGTTACATACTCTACGATTCGAAACACCCCAGTGGACGAGCAAGAGGCGGATCTGCTGTCCTCATAAAAAACCACATTAAACACTTTCCAACTCAAACCCTTGAAGCAGAATATATGCAGGCGACAAGCATATGTCTAGAAGAATACATAAAAGGTCTGACTATAACCTCAATCTATTGTCCACCAAGGTATAAAATAACGGAACTTCAATTCGAAGAATATTTTACAAAGCTTGGACCCAAGTTCATAGCGGCCGGGGACTTCAATGCCAAACACACATTCTGGGGCTCAAGACTTATATCACCAAAAGGAAAATCCCTGATGAACGTGATATCAAAACTCGACCTTAACATATCCTCCACTGGCACACCAACATACTGGCCTTCAGATCGGAAAAAAACTCCAGACGTCATTGATTTTGCGGTAACAAAGAATTTAAAAAGAAATCAAATTGCTACCGAGGCATCCTTAGAACTCTCCTCTGATCACACGCCGACTTTTATTCTGATTAGAAACACATCAATAGTCAATCCAAAATCTGATGAAAAGCTCACAAACCAGCACACAAATTGGCTAAAATTTAAAAAATATGTTAGCTCACATATTAACACCGACATTTCCCTAAAATCAAATATTGAAATTGACAAGGCAGTCCAGGACTTCACAGCTTTACTTCAACAAGCCGCTCGAATATCAACCCCACTCCCAATACCCCACAAACCTATAAACTACCATACATCGAACGAAATTGCAACCCTTATACAGGAGAAACGACAAGTACGACGCCAATGGCAGTAACAACGATCCCCCCGTATTAAAAAACAACTCAAGAATCTGACGAAAGCACTTCAGAGATTACTCAAAGAAAAAAATTGCATAGAATACGAAAATTTTATTTCACAGTTGTCTCCAACGCAAACAACAAACTACTCCCTTTGGAAAGTCACTAAACTCAAGAAAAAGCCCGTTATACACAGAGCACCCCTCCGACTTACAGATGGAAACTGGGCTAAAAGCGATGAGGCAAAGGGTGCTGCTTTTGCAAATCACCTTAAATATGTATTTACCCCAATCTCTACTTTAACAAAACTTGACTCTCTGCCTTACTCCACACGAAACGACAATATGACAATTTGCTTCAGTAAAAAACCACTAAAAAGCGAAATCAAAAATTTAAATACCAAAAAAGCCCCAGGCTAATTACAGCTAAAATGCTGAAAGAGATCCCACAAATCGCCAAAGACCAACTACTTTTTATTTATAACGCTATTTTAAGGACTGCATATTTTCCAAACGACTGGAAGCTATCCGAAATCATGATGATACCCAAGCCCGGAAAGGTCCCCGCTCAAGTCACCTCATATAGACCCATAAGTCTGCTTCCAATTCTCTCAAAATTATTTGAAAAACTTTTTATAAAACAACTAATGCCATATATAAATAAGAAAAGAATAATACCTAACCACCAATTTGGATTTAGAGAAAAACACAACACAATAGAACAAGTACACCGCATAGTACGAGTAATTAAGGAAACGTTTGAGACGAGGCAGTATTGTTCAGGCGTCTTTCTTGACATAACCCAAGCCTTTGACAAAGTTTGGCACGAAGGATTGTTCTGGAAACTTGAGAAACATTTACCATACAATATATCCTCAGTTATC